GCTACCCACTTTATTTGAATACCTGACTTAGAAGACGTGCATGGGCGATACCGATGATGTAACCTAAATTGCTTAACCTGATACTTTCTTTAGACTAATGGAAAAGGCTGGTGAAAAGTTCCATTCGTACATACTTCAGATAATATACATTCGTTTATCAAAGTTTACCATCGTATACTTCATTTAGGTCATTTATACATGAAATAGTTGCATCGGCTGCCATATACAGACTTCAGTAGCTTACGATTGGGATAATTAAAGTTAAATTATTTTTAAATAATTAGACTATGGACATTGTTTCCCATGTAAAAATTGATGAAAATTTCAGGATCGATAATAAGTGAAGAGAACTAACCCCAAGTACAACAACAGCAACATGGGCAGGTACGATGTGGAGACGGTGATGGTCCTCTACCATAATAGGGTGATCCACTACGACTGGTAGGTGGATGATTCCAGCCCGGATATCGCGGCTGTTGTTGTACAATAATGCACTGAGGCATATCTTCCTTCGTAAAATCCTGTAGACACCTATATACATATATATATATATATACTTTTTGTGCAAAAGTATGGTTTGCAACCTTAAACATTGTCTTTTGCAATAACACGCTGTGAAGTGTACTAAATGAAACTATCAAAGGAAAAGTAAACATAATAGGCGCGTTGTAACCATCGTTCCAAAAGCACTTCTTCTTAAGTGTTGAACTTTTCTAACTTAATAAATCACGTTTAATCCACTCAGACAAATGTACTAAATAATTTAAAGTCGTAGACTGATTAGTGTATATGAATCTGGTTAATTGTAAACGTACAATATAAAAAGGTTCATCATAGGAATTATGAATTCTAAGTTCAGAAGGAACACAAGTGTTCGTAAGCGCATAGTCCTAGAAATTTTGATCTGTACTATTCAGGGAAAAAAATCATTTTATTCAGTGAATGTATCTTAAGAATAGTAAAATGCGCATCTTGTAGGTTGCTGTTAGTTTTGATTTCTCTGAGTTACCTTCTTAAAATCGCACACCATTTACTGATCGTGATCGTACTCCTAATTTTTTAAAATTTTTAGACAACACTTGACATTTTTAAAACATTTTTGATTTCAATTCACTTATAAAACAATCTTTAATAATTTTGTAATTTATCCACTTCAACTCTACCCCTTATTACATTTTAGTTATCGTTATTCTTATCACATATATGTATATTGACTGAGCAACTATTTAGTGCCACTTAATAACCTTTTCTGTAATATAAATACGACTGTACAGCTTGAAAATGAAGTCGTTGAAAAGAAATTTCTTCGCTGAACAAAAACTGTGTTTTTACTTATGAATAAATGGGTATTTTTCGTGATATAATAATATTATCATTCTCCTCTAGTTCTTTAAGTTGATCTACATGCTCTTTAGTGAGAAGTTTATTCGAGCTAGGTTTTGAACTAGTAAACTGATGACAGCAATCAAGAACTGTTGAATTAAAGTGTTGGAATTCCTCAGGTGATGTGGGTGTGAGATCGTTGGTCTGATTAATAAGATTTTCAAATTTCACTTGAGTATGCAATCTGTTGACTTTGGACGAGCTGTTACAGAATTTGGGGCCCAGTGATAGAGCTTGTAGTTGAATTTCAAAAAGAGCGACGGAAGAATAATTAAATACATATTTATTGGGATCAGTCGGAAATCTCTTTTCTGCTACTTAATTCATTCGCTCTGCTCTAGGATAAGGAAAATTTGTAGTTCTGATTCCGTTGACTAAGAACTTGACTTCTTAAAAGCCACGCTCGCAGAAAACGGTTACCCTAACCGATTTATTGACAGCAACATGAAAGACAAGCAGTCTAAACTGGTCACCGACACAGTTCCAAAGAAAACCTTATTCATGAACTTGGAATTCAAAGGTGATCAAGCTGCAGATATGCTCAGAAATCGTCTCTCTAAATCAATCAGTAAGACATTCTATGCAGCAAAATTACATATGACGTTCACTAGCCGCAAGTTGTTCTCTGCCTCTGTAAAACATAAGCTCCCCCGTCTGGCCGCCTCCATGTGCAACTATCAGTTCACCTGCTCTTGTGGAGCAAGGTACATTGGTCGTAGTCAGAGGACGCTTTCCAGACGGATACGAGAACATATTCCAGCATGGTTTTACAAGGGAGAAAGGAAGTGTGTGCGAAGCTCTATTTTGGAACACCTGATCGACTTCTGTCACTCTGTCAACCCTGACCATGATTTTAAGATAATATATAGAATCCATGCTAACTTTCCGCGTTTTCTTCGTTACAGACTTCTAAAGACAGCTGAGGCCTTGGCAATTCATGACTTTAAGCCAGACCTTTGTGTACAAAAGAAGTGTGTACAATCCCTACTTCTGCCTTGGCCGTAGAGGGATAAACATTTATTTATTTTGTTTATTTATTTATTCTATGCACTCTTCCCTTATTACTACGATTATTATTAATATTATTATCATTATTATTATTACTATTCTCACTCTGAATCTTTTCCACTTGACCCACTTAACATTTAAACCCAAAATTATTAATTTTTATATTTTTATTTTTACAATATTGAATTCTATCTTATCTAATTTCACACCATGTTATGTAACATTTTATATTCGTCTACTAATCTTATAATTATATGCCCCTTTCTAAAATCTATACACCTTATGTATTATTCTATATACGACATTAATTATTTTGCCACTTGACATTAAACTATGATTATAATCACAAATATTTTAATTGCATTTCATACTATTATTATTTCATGTATTCACACCTTTGACCTAATTCCCTCACCGGATATAATTTCTTAAAAAAAAACCATATATATACGATTGTACAGCTTGATAATAAATTCGTTGAAAAGAGTCTCTTCTCTGAATATTTTGTTCTTAATGCTACAATGGGAATTAATCAATTAATGATGGATATATGGCAACTCTTATTCCCCAAGACCAATAAAACAAATGCGCGATTTATGGTGATGTTTTCTGTAATGAATATGGAGTGTCTAGGAAAAGAATAAAAATGATTTTCGACATTTCAAAGTGTATATATTTTGATTGGACACTAGTAACTAGTGCGACGTGTCCAGTCCTTTCTTTGGTGCAGACTGAATTCATTCAGTCAGGTTTGCAATGTGGCCACCATTCTAGGTAGCTCACCATCACGGTGCACATTGTTTTGATGCTATTAGATGGTTGGAGGCAATCGGCAGGAAACCTTGGACCTAGGTTTCATGCTAGTTGGTGCTCGTCAACAAGGCGTATCTGCAACTTTGAAGGAACTCATGACTAGATCCGTCGCACTAATTACTAGTGTCCAATCAAAATACCCACTACAGTCCTACAGGAGGTCAATCGCGAGCCCGAATAGCTCAGTGGTAACGTCTCTGACTGCAGCATTGGGTGACGCGGGGTCGAATCTCAGAAGGGACATGAGTTCCTTCAAGGTTGCAGATACGCCTTGCTGACGAGTGCCAACTAGCATGAAACCTAGGTCCAAGGCTTCCTGCCGAATGCCTCCAACTATCTAAAGTATATATATATATAAGTCAAACTTTTTGAAGCTGGTTAGTTGAGTCATGGTGCTTACGCTTCCGTCAGCAGTATTCTAAAAGTAATGCTATTGACACTGTATAAAAAGGGAACGAATGCCCAGGGAATGAGACACAGCTATATTTTACCAAAAAGTATTACTCTTTTCAAAGCTATGTGATAGTATCGTTAATTACTTATAAATTGATGAAAATGTCGCTGTAATAAGTAAAGTCAAAGTCAGACTTACCCCAGTCTCTGTTTTGACAACAGTAACAAATTCCACTAGTCCATTGACGATGGGGCGGTGGCACTAGTGTAAGACCAAAAGGCTGGTCAGATTTTCCTGGTTGGTCGAGAACGACTCCAACTTGATTTTGAAGCTTCATTGACTATTTATTGGAGCAATTAGGTAAAGCGCCATAGAAAAGATAATAGGTGGTATTTTGAAATTTAGCTTCTAATGGTATCACTAATTTAATGACCTTATGATTTTACTAAAGATATTGTGTAAGTGTCAAATACAACTGTTTTATTGGTACATACTGAAAGAAACAGAAACCTAGTTATTCATAGAAAAATGGTTATTACTCAAAGAATAGAAATTCTAATCATACATTTATTAAATGCGGGCAACGTTTGCTATCAGATTAATTACTTACATACATACTTAACATCTGTCTGTATGAAATGGTTAGATTGCATATTTATGCATCTACGTACTGAGTACAATAATTCAAGCATAAATGTGGGTTTTAACTGTTTACTAAATGTCTGACCAGTAACAGAAAGCATTTCAATATACAACGAGTTCATTTCTTATTTTATTTTAATTATTCATTTGATTTTAAACCTAATGTTTAAGCCACAGTCAGTTTTGTTTCCTGTATTTAAAAATAAACTCCAGTAGTAATAATCTTATGGTTCAGCGAAGAACTTCAACTGACTTTGTTGAGATTAGAAGGGATAAGGAGTGACAAAATTCAAAAACTTTTACTTCTTAAAACAGAAATTAATAGTTCAATTCAATCTTCATTTTATAAAGTTGACTAAGTAACCATATTATTACCACCATTCTATTTACCATATTGAATTCGACATATACGATGGTGAACAAATACCTGAAAATCACTACATATACTTTACATGCGATGCACCTAACAAAATAACTACACTGAACAGATTCTCGCGATTGATAAGTGTGAAAGAAAAATATCAGTTATCAGTCATAAATGGGAACACTATAAACCATTTCTATAAGACCATACACGTTCTTAGTTAACTGATCACTTTTATTAATATTTCCTTCTATATCTATTCTGTAATAAGGGGGTATTCAGAAAATGCTGGTAAGGTTAAAGGTTTATTTCATAGAGCATTTTTCTAACTCCAAGAGGAATCAGCATTGAAATACAGTAATTTCGATCTTTAACAATCATACTAGAGCGCTTTCTTCACCAGTATTTACATATGCATCTTCCTTCCCGTCGCAAATATGGCCTTCTTATCACTGCAAAACGAAATATAAATTAAATACATAACATTAGAGTTGCATAATGGCTATTTTCAAATGAAATGAGAAGGATTACAGCATACTCAAGCGATTATCTTGGTTTACAATTTTTTTCTACTGTCCGCCTTTCGGAACACCTTTGAAGTTAACGAAGGCCTATAATCTTAGACTACTTCCCTTTAAAAAAGGGAAACTGTACCTATGGACCGATAAATTACCTGAAGATTCATGCTAGTCTATTTCACATATAATACTAAAAGAATTTTCTATTACAGCTTGATTCCACACCGTATTTTTTGGTACATGTATGGAATTTTCAGCATGTGATATCGGTAGCCAAAATTTTGCAGGCCGACCATAGATATCAAGTGTGCGTCGGCAGGGGAACGGACCCCGGACTATATGCATGGTCGACGAGAGTCCTAACCACTGTGTCACCGATCCACATTGTGAAGAAAATTAAGCACCATTCTGAATGATGTATCTAATATATATATATATATATATATATATATATATATATATATATTCGGCATGCTGAGCTGTCTAATTTTAAACTTTGGTCTTGTTGACAATGGGCTACCCACTTTATTTGAATACCTGACTTAGAAGACGTGCATGGGCGATACCGATGATGTAACCTAAATTGCTTAACCTGATACTTTCTTTAGACTAATGGAAAAGGCTGGTGAAAAGTTCCATTCGTACATACTTCAGATAATATACATTCGTTTATCAAAGTTTACCATCGTATACTTCATTTAGGTCATTTATACATGAAATAGTTGCATCGGCTGCCATATACAGACTTCAGTAGCTTACGATTGGGATAATTAAAGTTAAATTATTTTTAAATAATTAGACTATGGACATTGTTTCCCATGTAAAAATTGATGAAAATTTCAGGATCGATAATAAGTGAAGAGAACTAACCCCAAGTACAACAACAGCAACATGGGCAGGTACGATGTGGAGACGGTGATGGTCCTCTACCATAATAGGGTGATCCACTACGACTGGTAGGTGGATGATTCCAGCCCGGATATCGCGGCTGTTGTTGTACAATAATGCACTGAGGCATATCTTCCTTCGTAAAATCCTGTAGACACCTATATACATATATATATATATATAACTTTTTGTGCAAAAGTATGGTTTGCAACCTTAAACATTGTCTTTTGCAATAACACGCTGTGAAGTGTACTAAATGAAACTATCAAAGGAAAAGTAAACATAATAGGCGCGTTGTAACCATCGTTCCAAAAGCACTTCTTCTTAAGTGTTGAACTTTTCTAACTTAATAAATCACGTTTAATCCACTCAGACAAATGTACTAAATAATTTAAAGTCGTAGACTGATTAGTGTATATGAATCTGGTTAATTGTAAACGTACAATATAAAAAGGTTCATCATAGGAATTATGAATTCTAAGTTCAGAAGGAACACAAGTGTTCGTAAGCGCATAGTCCTAGAAATTTTGATCTGTACTATTCAGGGAAAAAAATCATTTTATTCAGTGAATGTATCTTAAGAATAGTAAAATGCGCATCTTGTAGGTTGCTGTTAGTTTTGATTTCTCTGAGTTACCTTCTTAAAATCGCACACCATTTACTGACACTCAATGTCAAAATGATTTAACGTAGGGAAAATCCGTATAAATTACATTCACTTAAGTTAACTGAGAATAAACAATTGACTGTTTTTTTTTCTTTCCTTCACGTTCCTCAGTGGAACGTCGAGCTTCAAGCTTGTGGCTTGAAGTTTCTGTAGCAGTGCTTATTTTACAGGATGGGTTTGCTAGCCTAATGCCCAACCTTTTCCTCTCCACCAGAATTATTTCTGGCCTAGCGAGGTAAAGGAGTGCGTCGGCCGGGGATCGAACCCCGGACAGTGTGCATGGTCGGCAAGCGTCCTAACCGCTATGCCACCGACGCACCATTGACTATGTGGATAAGCTAAATAATTGCGAATTCGAAATGAAAAATGAAGAGCATTTGTCTAGGCGAATGTCACTCAGTGAGGGACGGGGTGAAATGCTGACTAAATGGTAATAATTTCATTTAGTTGTATCAACCATAAATCAAACGAAGAGGGAATGAAAAACTTGCTTTACATTAGGAAATCTCAGACTTCACTGTTGAATAGTTGAATCTTCAGCAATGCAACTAAACGGTCTTCGAAAACTTTAGGAACATTTTGTTTTATCCCATAGACTACAATAAATGAATCTTCCTTAATTTTATGTCGACTTGTCCATTAGATGCTATGAAACTAGACCGTTGATACATTTGCACTCACACTAACCAAGTCACATTGGATGTTATTCTTGTCCACATCCCACTACATGTTTCTTGGTGAGTGCAGTTTACACAATTTCATAACACCAGGTAAAATAGTTCATGCACATGGAAGTGGTGGTTTGTTCCTCAGAACAGTGTTCATTATTTAACCACCAATACAAGTGACTTGTAGAAATATTGCACGGGATTCAGTTTGATGAATGTTCTTCATTTTTGCTGTTAAACTCAGTTGTTATGGCATATTCGCTTATTCACGGTGTTACATAATTGAACATACCTTACTTAATTTTCATTCCCAGACAGCTTAATTGAGTTTAATCTTATAAGAATTTTATCTGTGTAAACTATATTCTCATTTTATATGTAAACAATGCTTACCTTCTGAAAGCGTGATTCCGCCAAAAACAAATTTATCCACGGGAAATCATTTTTCTCACTAATTGGAAATAATGAAGCCTTAGTGACAAGATCTCACATCTGACCATTTCTGTGTGCATATATCAGTTCTTGTGGAGCCAGGTGTATTGCTCGTTCCGCGCATATCCCGTATAAAACGGTTCAGGAAAACTATCCTGCATGGTTACAGAAAGGTATTAGTGGCTCTGTAAGTAGTGGGATAATCAAACACCTTGTCGATATTGGTCGTTCCATCTCAATAAACGCTTCCTTTAAAGTGAAGAACAATCTACTAAAAGCAATACACTTTCGTCTCCCTTGCAATGCTGAAGCTTTAGCCATTCATTTAGAGAAACCGGAGGTACGTACACAGAAGAAAACTATTTAACCACTTCTACTACCATGGTTACAAACTTGTTGATTTCTACCGACTTAATTCTTGTTTGTTTTTCTAATTTCTTGTAACTCTTCTATTTCTTGAAAACCATTGCACAATTCCATATTGTCCTGTGTATCTACATGCAACCTGATGACAACATATTCATTATATTCCTCTTCTTATCACCTAACTCCACTAGACTAATCAAACTCCACTTGTGCATTGATTAAAATAAACAATCCAAGTGTTGCTAGCAAGGATTTAATTTGATTGGTTATAAAGATTTCATCATGAGGATTGATACCCGCCGATGACCTTGGCTAGTGGTCGCGCTGTATCGTGAATTGCAGAAGTTGGAATTCATGGGTCATTAGATTTGGTCCCCGTGGCTTCATGGTCTACGGGTTCGTCTTGTAACCGGAAGGTCTTAGGTTCAAACTTTGGTGGTGGGTACATCCTTTTAATATTACTTCCAATCTCTTTTTGTTGGTATTAAATTGTCCAACCAACTTTCATGGGATATTTATTTCATGATACAATTCAGTATTTTGGTAACTTCCACTATCCAGTACACTGTTTGGAACGCTTAATTTACACTTAAAAATCACTCTTTGCATATGTCTGACTATAATTGAGGAGTTAGTAACCCAGAAAATGGATGTTACACCTATTCCTTTGCCATAGTCATCATTACTAATTTGCGTTTTCGATAGATGAATATTAAATGTTCATTTTTCTCAACCCCATAGTCTCTATATGTTTTGCATAACTCAGTGAAGATGTGGCTCATTGACTTAAGGTCTCAACTTATAACCGGTAGGTCACGCATTCAAGTCCTGCTGAACCTAATCAAACCTGGATAACTGGGTAGTATCATCAACCCTCACACAAAAAGTGTGACTCATAGCCTGATACATCAAAATACTCACTTTATTATTCCATAACTTCTGATTGCTTTATTTTGTCTTTTCTAATTCTGTGTACGTAAACTTGAGATAAAAATTTTAGTGATAAAGACTATAACAACAATATTTACAGCGAACACTTGTTTTCAGTAGATTCTTCTTGAGGTTCCATAATTACAAACTCCACTAATTTTACCATACAATAGCCAGTAAAGGTGAATTAGAATTATATCAGATATTATATTGTGGAACAAGTATAAAATGGAGTAATAGTCGGTTTATTTTGATTATCATTTTAAATGTGTATAGTCAGTAAGAACATAGACCAGGAATTCTGGTATCGGTTGCCACCATTTTATCTACTGATAAAAGACATTATGGAGAACCACTCGGCAGATTACCAGGAACACAGTAGACAACCAAGAAAGCCTCTTCTGGTTTTATTGAATGTTAATTATCTACTAAGTAGGCTAACACTTCACCGTTTTTACGCATTTGGTTTCCCTTTCACTTCGCCATACACGTTCACATTCACTGGCGTGTAGGTTTAAAACCCTCTGAGCACATCTTACGTAACTAGATGTATAAGAGCAGTCAACAAATCCTCAACCAACAATGTTTTAAATCCCTATCCCATTTTGTCTCTTTTTTCATTTGTTTCATTGACATACATTTATTTCAGACGATTTTATACTTCATGACTTTTCATATCATGCCTATTATCCTAAATTTACGTAATGCCTTTCAAAATTATTATATTTACATGATCCTGTTGATTTCACTTCATTAAATTCTGTATTACCTGGTAGTCGTTCAGTAATAGTACTTTTATGTTTACACCAAATCATCGCTATCACTTTATCTTTATTATTGTCCCCCTTAAACTTACGTCTAGCCTATCCCATTTGTTGGTTTATTTAATAAATAAATAAATTTATTCTCATAGTACAGTACATGAGGGACGCCAGCTTACGGGCACCATCAAACTGTTACAGAAATAGAACCAGATAATTCAATCACAATTTTTAGGCGGTAGCAATATGTGCTTTACATGTTCGCCGGAGATTATACATACACTTGATAAATGTTAATCTCTGAACTATTCATGTTGCTCCTCATACCACCGACTATAATCACCCTTGAAATTGTTGAAAATGACTTTGCTGCAAATATAAATCAGTTATGCGGATATTCAAATAAACTTCATAGGATTGATTACAGCAACGAAATGCCGTTCATATAAACTTTACAAAATCGTAAATAGACCAAATGTTTCGACTTTGAAAGGATTAATTAATTTTGATGCACTAAAACACAACTCTCTCTCAATTAATTTCTTGTCGAATTCACTTATCTGATGAAAAAGAAAAGTTTTATTATGTATTGTAAGCCCCTTAAAACAACAAGACTTGGTAGTCTGATGTATTCCAGAAATTTTCAGTAAATAACTGCTTCCGGTTACATCACCTAGAGGTCAGTACTATTATCCCGTCGAAAACAAATATGAACTGTCAGACACTTAGATAGATACAAAAGAATGAAAATATTAAACTTTTTTCAAATCGTGGGAAATATCCATAAGTCATTGGAGAGAAAAAACGAGAAGTTCAGCGATTTCTTTCGGCGACTCCATTCTCAGAAACAGTACAACCCCACCTATATACATAAGTGTACATTAGTATTTAATTCCACATAATAACGAAGGAGATTGAAGGTAATAATAAGTTTCAACTTGATATGAAAGTTCAAAGGTGTGAATATAGATTACAAGCGGATTAGAAGCAGAATTATACAGGATTATGAAATAGTTGCGTTATATGTAAAATAGTTTCTCTTAACGACTAAAGGTGTGGACGGTATGAGCACGGAAACAAATTGAATTAATAGTTTTCATAGCTACAATATGACCACTCCAAAGTGCATATGTCAATTCAGCCGCTCGTGTGGAGTTGGGTATATAGGTGGTTCTATGCGCCTTCTTTCAAAACGTCTTAGAGAACATTATCCAGAAGGAGTGCGAAGAGCTGTGGAGTCTAGAACAATATGACTGTAAAGTTTTTCGTCAGATGTTAAAAATGGAAACATGGTACATAACTTTTG